TAAGCACTGCGGCTACTTTCTGTTCCTGACAGCCCTGCTGGGTTTCTGCTAACCATGACTGCTGCCCACTTTCCACGTGTTTGCCGACAAGCCCCTGTTTTCGAAGCCGGATGCTCTCCGATAAGACTATGGCTTCCTTACTAGTCACCGACTCAAAACCTCGCGTTGGCCTTCTTCCTGTCATCCTGCTCACGAGGACAAAGTGTCTGAATCATGTCGCTGTGGACAGATGAGCGTGTGGACGAAACCGTCACCTCCGCATATGTCCATTCGCACCTCCGCGCAGATGAACAGGAATATCTTCAGCGGCCTCTGTATTTCGGAGGCGATCTGACCGATGATACCTACTTGGACTGGATCTTGACTAGGGCCAAACGCTTCTTCCTCATACTGGTAGCCACCGGTGTGCCCGATCAAATCTTTGGCATCATCGACGATTCGTATGACGACGAAGATCTACCCATCATCGAGCAAGCCGTTCCCGATCTTCGGCTCTCCTATGAGCCGGATAGGTCCTTGGATAAACGTTTCTACAAGAACCAGTTCCGCTTCCTTACACGAGTTGTTGGAGAGGGGGAGCACATCCGTTATGCCGATGAAGAGGCAGTCCCAGTCGTCCCTGTCAGCTTGAAATCGGTGGTTCTCTCATTTAGTCATGAAGGCACCGATCGAGTGCGGTTACCGTCAGACAATCAGAGAGTCTTTGTACGGCGCCGCATCGTCCTCGAGGGACCGCTCAGCGAGGAGGACATTCTGAATGAAATCGCTGCGAGCAGAAGGCTGTGTCACGAACACATCGTGTCTGTCTATGGCTCCTATCTCTATCAAGGGGTGTTCAATGTCATCTCCACCCCAGCAGCCGAATGGAGCCTCAAGACATTCCTCACCGATACGCCTAAAAGCTTTGGTGCCCTCCCAAAGCCTGAGCGACGACGTATTTTAATCAATTGGCCACACTGCATTGCCAGTGCGTTAGCATGGCTGCACGAGAACGGCGAATTCCACGGAGGTATCCGCCCCTCCAATATTCAAATTGACAACTCCTTCTCCATCTCCTTGGGGTTGCTGGACGGAGACGGATTGCTTCGTCACAGACCTCGCCATGACGACATCGAAGCATATCAATACGGTCCGCCCGAGCGATGGAAGCGCGCGGTCACAATTCAAAGCACTGGCTCCGCTGCCCTCTCGCTTCCATCTGGAGGACGATCTGGCCGGAAGGCGGGTGGAAATTCTTCAAGACAGAACCATTCAGACGGCAAGAATTCTGTGAGAAGCAGGTCAGCTTCGTCGGGAGCAACTTATACATTTCAACCCACTTCAAAAGGAGGCTATGCAAGGCTTCGCTTGAGCGCAGCGATCGGTCCTGATGCACCGCCTCAGTCTGCTGGTCGCGGTAGGGACTTGGGGTCTCCAACGGACACCAGATCCGTGGTAACCCAAGATACAGCACGGCCTACCTATGATCCGATCGTCCCAGGGAGGGCACCCTCGATTCTGTCTTCTACTAGTTCGAATGGCCGGAAGGCTCCTTCGCTTAACAGCCCTATTTTCGTCTCGGCCCCAGAAGGCCGAAGCGCTGTCGTTCAGACCTGGCAGTCGGTCGAGCACGACATGTACGCCTCGGACGTGTTTTCACTTGCGGCTGTGATAATGGACATCTTGAATCTTCTCTGCAAACGCAGCTATAGCTCGTTCTCGCGGGCTCGGTCTGCCAAAAATCGTATGGCTGGCCGTGGCGGAGGCCTGGCTGATGCGAGCTTCCACGCCAACCTTGGCCAGGTCTTCCTCTGGGCCCAAGGCCTCCAAAACGAAGCTGAAAAGAAAGCCAAAAAGAACGACGGTCAGGTATATCATGCCGTCGGCCCTATCGTGCAGCTCATTCTCCAGTGTCTCGAGCGAGATCCACTCGCACGTCTGACTAGCGCTCAGCTCGAGCAGAAACTAGGTGACCTTATTCGTCGCTTTGCCAGTGTCGATAGACTCCATTGCGCCGCTCAACAGAGAGCAGAGAGCAGTGCAGGATCTAGGAATACGCCAATCCGGGAAAAGAAATCTTCAGAAAAATCTATTGAAGGACGATCTAATGACTACAGTCCAGGGAGGACCCTTCGTCAAGGATCTCGAGATCCGCGACCCACAACAAGAGAGGAAAGGCAGCCTCAAGAGCAAACCATGCTTCTCGATGTTCCAATAATTCACTCGCCCCTCAGCCATACCCCTCCAAGCACAACCCCGACCCCCGGCACGACTTCCGTCAGTTCACTCTTGTCCTTCAATTTTGATGGCGTCTCCGACACGGTAGTGGCAGATAGTCCGCGCTCCCGCGATCATTCTCTACACCGAAATGCTCGACGCGCAGAGGTAGCTATCCCTGCCAATCGGGTACCTTGGAGCAATGAGTTGGACACACCCCGGCAGAAGCACTGGAATAACTGGCACAATAACGACAGTCAAGTGGACCCGAGACTGTCGTTCGGTGAGTCGATCGAGACGGGCGCATTCACCTACTTAAACTACAGCACGAGCGCCTCCTCAGATGAGGGTGTAAAGTACTTTCCTCGGCCTCCCGCTCCACCCTCCAAGCCGCCCCCGAATCGAGAGCTGCCTCCAGTGCCAGCCGTACCGAGAGAGTCTCGTTCTGTCAAACCAAAGCACCGTTCGGCCGCTGTGAAGTCATCCAGTCAGGACATTGCTATGTTAAGTCATCTGTCATCTGCTGCTACTGGCGGACGTCCACTTCGTGTCGACAGTCTGCCGAAGACAATAGACTATGACGAGGATGTTTTCCACGACAAGCTCCATCACATGAGGCACCCGCACAACACGAAGGCTCTTTCACACAGTCGGTCAAGACAAGATCTATATTCCGGCAGAAGAGGTGTATAGTGTATCTCGTGGTTGAAGCTACGCTGCTGAAGGAAGGCCCAATGTGCACAACAGGGGGCAGGTCCTCTTTGCGAATTACCAACGTCAAATCTTATGATTACTATAGGCGTTGCTCCGAATGCTACGGGCCATGATTTGAATGAAGCTATGGTGGAACACGACTTGGACTGTCCGCAAGTTTATGCAACACTTTCGGATTCGCCATATTATAGCTTGGCATCTGCGCAATTTGTTCAACTGTACTATCAACGTGGGAAGCACAATCATCCTCTGCTGTGGGCGCGACTCTCGAGTTATCTTTCAACGCCCAGGCTCTGGCTCGACGGATTGGATAGATCTCCATGGATGGGAAATAGAGAAAGGCTTTCGGGTTATCTATGCAGAATTACGTATGTCTCCTGTATCAATATTCAAATACAGTCTATCATGAAGTATATATGTGTATGTATAATATGTACTTGGTACTCTTTTTGGTTTATGGCACGTGATTGTTTGCTGAGCTGTGGTCATTTGTGTCACCGGAGCAACTTCTACGGTGCACCATTTCTGCCTCGTCTGGTCCTTATCGGTCACGCTTCTCCTGTACCTCGTTCCAACACCAGCATAGCATGATATGCCGGAGCCAGCATCTTCACAGCTCAAGGATCTCCGATGCGACCACGATGTAACAGCTGAATGCCTATGCCACTTCTTGTAGTCAGCATTTCAGCGCCATGTCCGAGTCAGCAGTAGCCGAGACCACATATTTCCACACCCTCAATGCGCGGCCATACTTCTTTCCCCTGGAAACTCGCGACGAGCGGCTTGCAGATGTAATCTCACAATTGGTGAAGCTGCCTGCTGAAATCCGATGGGAAGTCTTTGCACACGCTTTCAAGGGCAACCGGGTCGCCGTGACCGCCAAGTCGGGCTGCTACTGCTTCTCGGACGCGACGGGGCCTTATCGCGCAGACCACCAGTGGCTGCTGAGGTCTGCGCCGCCGGGCCAAGTGCGACGTGAGGCTCAGCATGTCTTTATCCAGATGGCCATGTGGGAGCTCCATTGCCAGCAAGCGCTGCACTCGTTCGTGAACAGGATGAACGCCCTGCACAGTCTGAGCCACGTGCGCCACGTGCGACTGAATGTCTTTGAACTCGAGGCGACGTGGGAACTCAACCTGGACAAATTCCCCAATCTACAGACGGCGACGTTCGCGCCGAACCCCAAGGGCTGGACGATCACCATTCCCGAGCAGGCGGGCTCGGACCAGCTCTCGGACCCGAATGTCATGTTGCACGTGTGGCAGGTGCTGGAGTCCAGGGATGGATACGGCCCGGTGATGGAGGCGTTTAACCAGAAGACCCGCCGACGCGCCTATAGCATGTTCTTCGTCTTCCCTATCCGGTTCCATTTGCCAGAAACATCGCGGGATGGATCTCCCCGGTGGCAATTGAGTGTCTGGAGAGCGAACCTGGACACCGGGACGATCGAACGCAGCTGGCGAGAGGTCCATCTTGTTCAGGAAGCGACCCTGGATTGAGGTCTGTGCTTTGCTGGTACGGTCTGTCTTTTGGAGTTGGCGAATGACATGATATTATCTTACGCATCTTTGGGATCAACTTGTGTGACTATGTACTGGACTTGTGTGTGAAAAGGACATTGGGCACAAACCGATGTGCGTTGGATGAATATATTGACCCCTGAGCAGTAGTCGATCTCGCATAGGAGCATCACCCGAAGATCTCTTTGAGAGATTCCTCAGTCTTTTCCTGTCGGCTCACCTACGCACACGCCTCACGATCCTATATGATTATACTGTGCGTACCTGGTGCCTGGTACTGCGCCCACACCACACTTGTGGACGTAACCGGGGCGCTGTTCTGCCGAGGAGTTAACATGTATGTACTCTGTGTGGCCTATCGAGCTGTGTATGTGCAGCGAAGCTAGATAACCAGCGCCCACTGTGTCTGTGTCTGTATCTGCGACGTGACTTGTCCAGCTACCTGCCTATATAGGTATCCGAACCAATACTTACTAGGTAGGTACCTAGGTAGTATATGAGAGAACCCCTTGTCATTCACACACATCACACGATTCTTTTACAGAATGGACTTCTTCAATCCCCATAAACTCACCCCATCGTATACTCCCAGATCTTGTGCACGACACCAGCACCTGTGTCACTTCTCAACCTCTTCAACTCCTCGCTCCCGCCGTCCTCGACGACGCTCGAGTCTCCGTTGACGAGGTACACGCCGGAGCCCAACACTCCGTCACTGCCCTGCTGGATCAGCGTGCCCTTTGCGCGCTCGGGGTCCCGGACACGGCGGAACCGTCCGTTCGTTGCGGCGAAGAGGACTCTTTCGCCAGCCTCGGCCTCAGCCTCGTCGACGCTCGTGTCAATACCCCCGAAGACAACGCCCGGGTTGACGTGCAGGAAGACGATCTTGTCGTTCTCGGCCTGTGCGGCGAGATGTTCGAAGAAGAGCGTTGTCATGGTCGCCGCGGCGGCTGTGGGGGAGGGTTCTGTTGTCCGTGGTGTACCGAGATCGTCCACGTCGACCCACCCTTCTCGTCCGCCGGCGAGGACGCTGACGACGCGAGGAGACGCCGCTAGGCGCAGGAGCGGGAGCAGTGTGACCAGGATGCGCATCCGCGCGCAGTACTCGGCGCAAATGGTGCGGTCGATGCCTTCTTCCGTGAGAGAGATGTCCGCTGACGGTGACGGCGACGTCGAAGACATGATCAACAGATCCAGCCTTGGCGGATTCAAAGCGACCATCTCCCGCGCAGCATCCTGCACACACGACACCAGATTCGAGCCCTCGTCGGGGGTGGCAACGATCGGGACAATGTTCGCAGACGCGTTGAGGCTCTGTGCCGAAGTCTTGAGGGCATCGAGGCGCGCAGTTTCTCCGACGAGGTAGATGGTCGGCGTCGACGTGTGGCGCAGCACCGCGTGCAGCGTCGCCAGCCCGATTCCCTCGGTGCACCCGACCAGGGCGCAGACGGGGCCGCTGCCGGGACTGAGCAGCGAGGTGTTGTTGAGGAGGATGTCGCTCGTGGAGACCATCTTCATATGAGCAGGGCCTGAACACCACTAAAGAATGCAGCTCGTATAGTTTCTAGTTCGAGACTACTCCCCGAAACAGAAAGACAAGACAAAGCCAGAGAGGAGAGACAGGAGGAAGAAATTATCGCCATGTAAATGGCAAGATGGAAAGTCACTCCGCAGGACCGAGAGGTCTACAGGATAATGAAATTGTCTATACCCTATACCCTATCATACCCAGACCATAAATACGTACACGGTCGATGGTCCAATCAATCTGGGAGAGATGAGGGAATCAATGGCGACAACTACAAACTGCAAACCGTCCCAGACGCCGCGTGTGGCATTGACGTACGAGCCAGCGCTAACGTCGTTGATTACCTATACATTCAGATGCGCGGACTCTAATCAAGGTTGTCATGTGTGAGAGAGAGCGAAGGAGAAAGGATCCGAGTCGGAGCCACGGCTCCGAAAGGCGGGGTTTGTCTGGGTCTTGCATGTGCGCCTTGTAGATGCACATGTGTCGTCAGCATGGGTGTGTGGTGGAGCCACGGAATCTATTCAGTCGACCTGTTGTGGATGGGCTTTGCCTTCTGCTGACCTTCCCGGGACGCCTGTCGAAATTGTATGGCGGGCACAAGACCAGGTAGGCCAACACGCCACGATGCAGCTTCCACGCGACAATGGAGCTAACACGGTAAAGCACTTCAAAAAGAGCCTACCTGGACTGGGCAGCACCTTTTGGCGCCTTTACACGACGAAATCATTGACAATCTTCACGATCCATCAATCAGGATACCTTGACTGAGATAGCAGCTGCGTCGTCGATGCGGCCGAAAAACACCCCAGGGATATACTTTTCCACATCTCCGATGCAGCGAGCAAGGCCCGGGGCACCGCAACTCCAGCGGACCCCAGTTGCCACCAAGATGGTGGTTTCCTCCTCCGTGGGGATTGTGTCGGCGGGAAAAAAGAAGCCGTGCGTAGTGGTCACGCACTCCGGACTGCCTTGGAAACCCATGGTTCGAAGGGCAGCGTAGGCTGATTCTTGGAGGGGTCCGTGAGACTCAGCAGAACCGAGTTTGCTCGAGGCAAGCCATTGTTGCACAAACTTCTTTCCGTCCTCGTTGATTGGCGAGATCTCGAGCGGAAGCATCAGGTCCAGATACAACGAATCGGACTCCTCGTGAGCCGGTTGGCCTTCGCCGTAACAATGCCAGGGGAGAATAGACGGGAGATCTCCTGGCACTGGACGCCAGCGTTTAGACGGCGTCGAGTCACGCTTCGCGACCGAGTAGATGAACGAGTAGTCACCCTTCCTCTCGCAAAGGGACATGAATGCCTCGGAAGGAGCCAAGGTTGCGCAGGAGCTAGCACGCGTGGTGCTGATGGCGCCGATCATGGCGTAGAAATGGTCCTCGTCACGGTGTTGTGTGCGACGATCCATGTTCGACATAACCTGTAAAGCAGGACGTTCGAGGTACCCAGCAATCATGTGCTCGGCAATGAGATCCTCAAACGCGTCGAGACGTGGGTATCTCTCCCTCTTATCGCTGGCTACAGAGGCCGAGTCGTCGAGGTGAGTGAGGGTGTGACCAAGGCAGTTCAGGAAATGACTGCCTGGGACGATGACCCCGCAGGATTCCTCGCAAGTGATGGAAAGAACCTTGCTGTTCGCCGCCTCCTGATACGTCCATGCCCTCGATACCCATTTCTCCTTCTCCAAAACGTCGAGATAGACCGGGTCGACGCGGTCGGAAGTGCTCATCTGCTCGAGGACAGGGCGGGCGGCCGTGGAAAGGACGACAATGACTTCATCTGCCCGGGAGTAGATAAATCCCATGCTCTCCAAGGTGTGAATCCTCTCCGGCGCATCGACAGGCACACAGAATGCATCGATCCAAAATCGAGTGCAAGATGGGCGGTGCTGGATAACGGCACTCAATGCTGGGATTGTGCGGTCGGAAATCTGGTAGTCGCGGTGAAATGGACTGCGCTCTCTTTCCGCGCCCCATGTGTAGGAGACGCAGGTGAATCGTATGTCTTCAGCATCAGGAGCGTCCAAGTCATGAGCAGCCAATTTCCAATAATGCCCTTCAATTTGGACGGAGTCTTGTCCGCACTCGGGATCTTGGGTGACAAGGTACAGCAGCATGGGAGCGGTTTGCGGTGGTGCCCTCACAGCAGAGAGTGTCAAATTTCTAAGGGGTTCTTGTTCGAGATATGACGTTGAGGCATCGTAACTGGTCGAGCTGGCTTGTCGTTCGCGGGGTAGAGTGAGTTGAGTACAGAGATCAATTGAAGCCAGTCAAGGAAGTGAGTGAGTAGTGAATGAGGCTGATGAGCTTCATCAGCCTCATTGGCCCGCCGCAAGGATCAGCCAAGGCGTGGCACAGTTCCACCCACGGATTCCTATACTGGTAATCGGTATAATAACTAATATCTCGTATACGTCCAAGTTTGGCGCCGATTTCGTCATCCTCTCTACAAGTCCCGCATACCATCTGGAGCGAAGCGGTGATATCGGCCGGACACCGAAACTTCCTGTACATGTAACCGGGGCATATCCTGGCACCCTGGCAATGCGACACCGGCTATTAGACTCGGCACAGACAGACCGTCTTTTACCCATCGCACAATCCCCCCCTCTTGGTGGCGTCGAAGTCAATCTGGACCTCAGTGAGGAGCAATTGGTGATCTGCCTCGGCGTGGAGAATGCTCGTTGCGCCCTTTGCCGGCTAAGACGGCACCAACCTCCAAAAACAGGATAGCACCAGCACCATCTGGCGGACAACTACGACTTCAAATCTGCTCTTTACACCTTGAAAAAGAAAGTGTTGTGTCTGTGGTGTGTCAATATGTATTGTCTGGAAGCAAAGCATGTCAGTCGACCTCGAAGACACTGGGACATTTACTCTACGCGTCGAACACGATCCGCATGAGAAAGACGTTGCCAAAGACGACGGCGACCCGGAAGCCCTCGCATCGTTTGACAGTCCGTTCGATCTCCCAGTATGGCGCAAATGGGTCATAACCACTCTTTTGGCGTTGATGACCACGGCCGTCACGTTTGCCAGCTCGGTATGGTCTTCAGCCATCGCCGTCACATCCAAGGAGTTCCACGTCAGTGAAACAGTGTCGCTATTGGGGGTGTCACTTTATGTCTTGGGATTTGCCGTGGGTCCTATTGTTTGGGGTATGTTCTCGTCTCCATGTCCATTGAGGATCCTGCCATCGATGTCTCTTTCGAGTTGTGCTGACCTGAGGGCTGTGGTGGTTCAAGGACCCTTGTCAGAATTCAAAGGACGTCGATTGCCACTCTTCTCAGCCTTCTTCGTGTGGACACTCCTTCAAATACCGGTCGGAGTGGTCAACAACCTCCCCGCACTGCTAGTATGTCGCTTGTTAGCCGGCTGCTTCGGAGCCTCGCCTCAGGTCCTGGTTGGTGCAACCTACGCGGACTTTTGGGAACCCGCGGAGCGTGGTGTCGCAACCGCAGTCTACTCGGTGGCTGTCTACGTAGGCCCTACTCTGGGGCCCATATTTGGCGCCCTTCTCACCGAAAGCAGTCTTGGTTGGCACTGGACAGGCTGGGTTTCTCTCATTCTCGGCGTCGTCGTGGGAGTCCCTGCATTCCTCTTCGTCCCTGAGACATACGGGCCAACTCTCCAACAAAGAGCAAACAAGAAACTCAAACTGGCGCAGGACTCGTCAGCACTGAGCAGACAGATCAGCAAGCCAGCTCCAGCCTTTTCCGAGTTCGTCCAAAAGTACATGTTCAAGCCGGCAATCATGTTCTGCGTCGAGCCGATGCTCATGGTCATGGCGTTGTACATTGCCATCGTCTATGGGATTCTCTATCTGACCTTCTTCGCTTTTCCGTACAGCTTCGTCCAGGGTCGAGGTTGGGATTCTCGTACCGGGTCCCTCCCGTTTTTGAGCATTCTGACGAGCGTGGTGGTATGCTCGCTTGGAGTGGCGGTGTATTCGAAACGATACTATCGTCCCAGGCTCCTGGCTCGTGGCTCGGTTCTGCCTGAGGACCGCTTACCCTTGGTCATGCTCGGTAGCTTGATTCTCCCAGTCGGCCTTTTCTTCTTCGCCTGGACTTCGTCACGCCACATCTCCCCCGTGCCACAAATCATCGCAGGGTTTTTCATTGGGAGTGGCATCATGCTCATTTTCACCAACGCCGTGGCATATCTCGTCGACATCTACCTCCAGTCCGCCGCCAGTGCGATGGCGGCAAGCACGATTGTGAGGAGCTTGGTGGCCGCTGGCTTCCCTTTGGCGGCACCACGCATGTATAAATCCTTGGGTACGCCATGGGCGACGAGCGTCCTCGGCTTTCTGTGCGTGCTAGCGATCCCGGCTCCATTCCTCTTCTACAGATACGGGCGGAAGCTGCGGCAGATGTCGCGGTTTGCTCCGATGCCAGAATAGCATCCTTTACGACAATGCTGTCTCGATCAATTTAGCTGGTCCTGGTGTTTTGGTTGGTGCATAAGCGATAGCGGGGACCAAGGGACCTGTTCCATTGGCAGACTTAAAAGGCCACTGCATCGGGTTTGTTCGATATGAATCTATTTAAATCAATCGTGTATCTAGCATAGGCCTCTGAAAACCCACTGGCTGAGACATTCAAATCTTCAAACCCTATCTGTTTGTATATTGTAGACGGGCGTGACGGGCTGAGATAAAATGGGGGCGCGGGGGGCAGTGGCTGCGGGGTGCTCGGAAGTGGATTGAACACGTCGCATGCCAACACAGCTCACTGACTTGACAGGACCTTCTCTATCCCACGTCGCTCTGCGTTTCATCAGTGGCTTGGTGAGAGCCTGTGGCCTTCATGTTCAAACATCAATGTCCTGTTCGAGATTGTGACATGCAAACCCCATCCGCACAAATTTGTCTCTGTCCGACATCCCTTTGCACATTTGCAGCTCAAGCGATGTTTGCTACCCATCTGTCGTCTCACCGATGCCCAATCCCCCAGGGATCACCCACTCCCCTCACAAACTGGTGCGAAGCCAAGACCTTCGGAGCGAACCGAGTCGACAGCCGAAGCTGCTTAACGCGAACAAGATCATGGATCCAATGCTCGCCTTCCTCAGAGACGAATCAGGCTTTGTGGGGACAAGGATTACGGTACTTGAATCCTGTGGCCGGAGACGGGAAGAGCTAGAGGGAATACACATGAAATTTCTGCGAGGACTCAATCAATCAATATCCGCTTTCGCTTCGGTTGTTTGACAGAGTGCGGCGCAAACGAAAACTGAACCTTCACAGTCGATCACTCAGTCAATACTGACCGCTGGTTGAGCTCCAAACGCTCCGTTGCGTCTTGATCGTGCGATCTGCCTCTGAATAACTGTTTGGGTGGCTGCCTGTGTGACCGGCAGCTGCCACTCAAAGGACCCTGCTGGTCCACCGAGCTGAAAAGTGTTCTGGGCTAGCGATGTTTGTCCAGCTTCTCATAGGGCAATATTGACATCAAACCATCACACCAGCAGGAAACCGGCATGCAGCTGTCCCGTCACTGGATGCTATTCCTCATGAGTACGCCCAGATTGTCGTGGACAACCTCAACCATCACCGGATTCGGTCAGTCTAGACACGTCTGAGAAATATGTTCTTCCACTCATCTGCTATTGTGCATGTCCTCCTCCAGCTGCACATGCAGAACATTCCGCCATGGCTGTTCCCCTCTGCCCGGGCGTATTTATGCAGCACCTCCCCGCTCTCCCACCTTTGCAACTCAGGTCGTCCAGGCCGTCTTATTTCTCGTCAGAAGGTTGAAAGCTGAGGCGTCCCTACGAGAACTCTGTCCGATATGGAACAATTGCACAAATTACAAGCAACCATTTTTCAAAATGCTCCGACTGCCCCAGATGGCCGGTCCGATGCCGAGGCTGCAGCAACGCCCTCGGTGAAGCAGACTTCGCTACTCCATGATTTGACTCACCTTGGACGAGACAACGCGGCGACTTTGGTTCAGGCCTTCAACACATTGGTATCAGGAGAACCGCTTAATGACAAAGAGCTGTTACTCGAACATGGCGTGCACATGCTTCAGTCTCTCCCTGCCAACAGCGGACTAGGTGCAAATGCTGCTGGTCGGTTCATCAAAATGCTGTGGGATGACTTGCCTCACCCACCAGGAACCACAGCTGGTCCTACGACAAGATACAGGAGGCACGACGGAGGTAACAATAATCTCTGGGACCCTGAATTGGGAAAGGCAGGGTCCCCTTACAGCCGAAGCGTGCCGCCCGTGAAACCAAAGGGCCCCAACTTGCCGGACGTGGAACTGGTCTTTGAATATCTGCTTAGGCGTAAAGAAGGAGAGTTCCGCAAGCACCCATCCGGCCTGAACAGATTGTTCTTCTCCTTCGCCACAGTCGTCATTCATGAGTGCTTCCAAACTTCAAGGGACAATAAATGGGTCAACGAGACGTCCAGCTATGTCGACCTGAGCACGCTCTACGGAAACACGAGCAAGGAGCAGAAGCGAGTGCGGACGTACAAGAATGGACTCATCTACCCAGATTCGATCGCTTCGGAGAGGATCATGCTGATGCCACCGGGCGTCATTGCTGTTCTGATGATGTTTTCCAGAAACCACAATCACATCGCCGAAACGCTCTTGTCCATCAATGAGCAAGGAAATTATGGTCAATGGGATAGTCTGACAGAAGAAAAACAGAAAGCGTAAGACATTCGCTCTGCTGTGATGGCAATGTTGGTGGCTGGTATATCTGACTGACGCCTCACAGGCAAGACGAAGATATCTTCCAGCTAAGCAGAAACATTAACGTCGGCTTCTTCGCCTCCGTAGTGCTGAGAGACTACGTTGCCGCCATTTTGAATACGCCACGGGCTAATTCTGAATGGTCTCTCAACTTAGGTGAGGAGATCAAGTCTGCGCAGGGACGAGTAGAGAGAGGCTCGGGTAATGTCGTCTCAGTGGAGTTTGCAGTTCTCTACCACTGGCACGCCGCACTCAGCGCCGCCGACGCAAAATGGATGGATGATGTGATTAGTCGGAATCTTTCCCAGATAAAGTCTGTGGACGAAATGACGCCGCGGCTCTTCTGGCAGATGACAGAGAAGATCACAACGGACTTGATGTCGAAGCCTGCCAGCGAATGGACCTTTGGAGGTTTAAAGCGTGGCCCTGATGGAAGGTTCGACGACGCCGATCTTGGCCGCCTCATCAAAGACTGCATCGAGGAGCCAGCTCACGCATTTGGAGCTAATGGTACACCGGCAAGCCTGAAGGTGGTAGATCTCATGGGCCAGCTTCAGGCCAGAGAGATATTCAACACCTGCACATTGAATGAGTGAGTCCCATCATATCAACATCCAGATTATGTGATGTGACCACTGCAGATATGCTGACAGGTATTGCCAGATTCCGGAAATACCTCAACTTGACGGCGTACAAGAGTTTCTCGGAGTGGAACGATGACCCCGAAATTTCTCGAGCCGCCGAGCTCCTGTACGGCCACATCGACAATCTCGAACTATATCCGGGTCTACAGGCCGAGTGTACCAAGCCACCAATGCCTGGAAGTGGTGTCTGTCCAGGTCAAACAACCGGACGTGGCATCCTGGATGATGCCGTGGCCCTTGTGCGAGGCGACCGTTTCCTCACCTACGACTTCAATAGCAACACCCTCACCAATTGGGGCGTGTCCAAACTTGCCGATCTCCCCGGAGGCGCGTACGGAGGCATACTGTCCAAGCTCATCTTCAACGGCCTCCCTGGGGAGTTTACCGGCACATCAACCTATGCTTTGCTGCCGTTCTACACGCCCGAGGCGGTCAAGGGCATCCTCGAAGGCAACAAGGTGCTGGCCAAGTATGATCTTGCGAGACCTCGACCCAATGCGATGAAGCTAGTGGGTATTCATACTCAAGAGGGTGTCAAGAAGGCCTTTGAAGATCGAGAAACATTCCACGTCATGTATCAAGCGGCGATCCGCAACTGCACCGACGGCCACGAATTCATGATCGGCTGGGACGACCAGAAACGCCACGACCCACGTTCTGTCATCCTCCACAAGGCCTTTTTCGAAGAGAATTTTGAGGCGAATCTTACAAAATACTTTCGAGAGACGGTCAGAAGCCTGATCCACAAGAGCACGCTCAAGTATCCGGATCGTCGACGGTCGATTGACATTGTCCGAGACGTCTGCAACGTCACGCCGATCATGTGGCTCGCCCGCCGTTTTGCGATTCCGATCAAGGACGCCGCCCATCCACGTGGCCTGGTCACCATTCCGGAGCTGTTTGATATCTATCTCGTCCTCTTCATGTACCAGAGCTTCAATATCTTGCCGGTGAATGAGTGGAAGCTGAGGGAGACGGCCGAGACGGTTGCGCCGATCCTCCGACAAATCTTTACAGCTCATCTCCGGACCCAGCGGGGTGTCACGGAGTACATTGTGGATTGGCTCGCCAAGGGCTCCGCGTATGAAGTTGGGCCGGATGCGGACCGGTTCTACCACGCCATGAACAAGACAGGATTGGACATTGGCGACATCGTGGGTGACTGCATCGGCATGGGTGCCCCTGTCGCGGGCAACATCACGCAACAAGCATCCCTGCTGATCGATCTCTACCTCCGCGACGAATACGCGCAATACAAAAGCCGCATCGTGGAGCTCGCGCAAAAGGACGACGAAGCCTCGGACAAGGAACTGCTGGGGTTCGTGTTCGAGGGCATGCGCCACGCCGGCGTCGTGCCCGGTCTGCCCCGCGTGGCCTCGCGGGATGTGACATTTGACGACGGCGCCCGCGGCCCCGTTGACATCAAGGCCGGTCAATACGTGCTCATCGCCACGTCCTCGGCGGCCATGGACCCAGTGGCTTTCCCGAACCCGGAGAAGATCGATCCGCACCGCCCAATGTCATCCTACACGCTTCTCGGGCACGGCATGCACTACTGCTTCGGCGCCAGATTGGTCGGCCCCGCCCTGGTCGCCACGCTCAAGGAGGTGTTCCGGCTGAAGAACCTGCGCCGCGCCGCCGGTCGACTGGGCCGCTTCAGCGTCATAGAGCACGACATCGCGGGCGTCAAGGCCAAGATCTATCTCGACGGCAATGCCAAGGAGTCGCCCATCCCGACCACGCTGCATCTCTTGTACGATGAGTGATTTCCAACCCGAGATGCCGGGATGGGTACTTTTTCCGCCCCGTCGACCATTCACCATTTGGGGAAATAATGACAGTCAAGACGGCTTTTGTCCTTCTCAGGTCATTGTCTGGACATCTATTTATCTCCCAGAGTCGGAGTGCCAGAGTGTCAGACCGTCTTTTCTATGCTAGGCTAGGTAGTTAGGATAATCCCATGAAAACACGAATGAGGGTCAGGACTCGAAAGGGATGTGAACTTTCTCTCTCTCTCTCTCTCTTTTTGACCGAACCCCTCTTGTTTTGATTGGATTTGGATTTACATTTACATACATAGGTAGCTAGGTAGCCAAGTACCCAAGGTGCCCAAGAGGGAGGTAGATGGGTGGTGGTTTACCTTTTGTCGTGCCCCTGCTGGACATTCTCGGAAGCTGGTGATTTCGTATGTCTTTTTTCAAAATTATCTGAAGAATCTTTCTTTCTCGGTGCCTTCTCCTGTCATTGGTGGTGAAATAACGATACGCTCAAACAAATACCGCTCGTACTTTCTAGTGGTGTATACATCGTAGAAGATCCCTTTGGCCGCTCACTAAGACACCAGGAAAAATGGAACGGGGGTCAGAAAAAGGGGGAAGGCTAAGTGAGACAACTTCTCAGATAATGTCATAGATACGCGAACAGAGTCGGCTCTTGTTGTCGTCGGTCATGATCTCGCCGTCCACAAAACCGTATACAAAACACTCGCCAATCAGGGTATAGTAAGACGATGATGACGACGCTGACACCTGGGGCCGAAGCACCACGGGCACGCTGCAGCCGTAGAGGATGGCGACCACGTCCCCGACGCTGGTTTCGGGTGGGCAGAGACTGATTATTGGTTGTTGTGGTGGTGACGATGACGACGAGGCAACACCACCACTGCCACCGCAAGACCTCCCTGCCGCTGCGGATTCTTGGGACGCGCTCAAATTCACCAGTGCTCTCGACCAGCACACATCGCGGACCCGTCGCAGAAACTCGCGCACGTGGGAAGACTCGGTCAGGCTGTAAAGCTCCTCGACGTCGATGTGGGCGCTGGCGTTTCTGCGGAACGCGAACTCGCACGCGCGCTTATACCACCCAGGCGCGGGTAAGCCGTCGGGTCCGCGGTCCGCGACCAAGGTGCGCCAGAACACCGGGGGAACAGGCCGCGAATCAAGCTCGTCCCACATGCCCAGCTCCATCCAGCGGGAAGGAATGTTGCCGTTGATGCACTCGCCGCCGTGGACGGCGACTGTGCCGATGGGAATGCCTCGGGCCGAGAGCACCAGTTGCGAGCCCTCGGCGCGAAATTCGACGTGGCCGCGCGACGAATAGTGGCCGCACGCACGGTAGCTTCGCGAGTCAGGCGTCCCCACGAGCACACAACCGTTTTTGCGCATGTACACCGGGAGAGTGCTCTGCGCAGAGAAGCCAGTGAGCGTCTTGCCAGCCGCCACAGCACTGCGCAGCGCCCCCAGAACCTCGGCACTCCCTACCGTGCCCTGGGGTCGCGGCTTGAGGCTATATGGAAGCTTTTCTGTAGTGGGGATCCAGGAGGGGAGGCCGGCCTTGGGCGCCCACGGCTGACAGATGATATCCAACGAGCCAGAACTCTTGACAATCAACTCTGTGGCCTCACGGAACAGATCTCGCGGCTCCTTGGAGTAGTCGACCTGAAGCCTATTGGTCCCCGCCACGTCGCGCGCGAGATCGTAGATGGCGTAGATGGTGTCGTGCATGAAGGTGACCTCGAACGTGGGCAGCATCGACAGCAGCGTCTCGAGATCGAGCAGTCTGTCAATCACGTCGCCGTTGGGGGTCCTTCGGACTATTTTGGCCGACACTTCAATCAACGCGACAGCCCCAATCAGATATGCGTGCCCCAGCCTGTGTCGAGTTTTGCCGTCCACGCGATGCTGGATCTCGATCCATCGTGGACGGAGCAGCGTGACGGCATCCACAAAGTCTAGCCAAGGCATTACTCGATGTCCACAATGTATCGTGGCCGACTTCGCCAGAAGGATCTCCTGGACGCACCAACGCCTGCGAAACCAAGGGTTGCCCATCAGATTGGCGAGCTGGAGAAAATTCTCGGTAACGGAGGGATCGCTCAGTGCGGCTTCAAAGTAGTCAAAATCGAGGATTCCCTGGGCAAGATCCATGGCTTTCCTGTTGTTCTCGTCTTCCTCGCCCAACCAAATGCAGACATTGTCAGCGTGCCGGAAAATACGACTCATCTTGCGGATTTGCCGGGCTCTCTCATCAGGGCTGGCAGGATTGATTGACAGAGCGTCCACCCATATTGCAATATCTATACCCGGCTGCCGCAGGTGGGACAAGGCAGAATGCAAGTTTTCGGCAATCTCATGCTTGAATAGGGACTTCTGAAAGCGCAAGCCGAGCTGCTTCAGCTTGTGGTCAGTCCCCACGACATAAGACAACGCAACATATTTGGAAGCTTGAGAGAAGCTCCTAACGACAAGTTCTATCTCCAACGGCGCGCTTCCTTCGCCCGCCTTGAGCTCGATGAGGCGGAACTGGTCTTCTCGGAGAGTTGTGTAGATGCCGGCATCCCATATGGGCTGTGGAGGCGCGGCAGGTTCCAGCCAGAGAGAACCGTAGTCTGGATCCCAAGATGCTTTGAGATAGCGTTGAGAGCCGAGTTGTTCGAGCTCCTGTTGCTTGTCAGCTCTCCCAGGCTCGCTGCCCTTCCCGCCCAATTTGCCGAGTAGGCGGCTAGAAAGGCCTTTCCGGGAGGGGTCCTGGATAGCAGCGTCAATCAGACCTAAAATCTCGCTGTCCAAGTAAGTACCAGCGGCGGTCCGATCCAGAGTCAGGCCCTGGTCCACGAGCTCGCGCTGGATGGTCATTAAAATCTCATCTTTGGACGACGCCGTATCCAGGACTTTGGCTGCAGAGGTGGCATCACCACTGAATCGAGCGGTCTTGGCTCCAAACTGGACCAAATCAGACCAGAAACTGGCTTGGAGCTCTGCCTCACGCTTCTCGCCCAAAGAAGGATCGATAGTGTCCCACATGGAAGTGACCAAGGTCAAATGAGGGAAACTTTGGACACCAAGCATTCGCTTCATCACTGTCAAGTTCCGGAGGATGCTGCCAGACACCCTTGTCAATGTGATGGGCTGTATGTAGATGATTGCCATGAGGCGAGTTTTCTCCTGATAGCGCGCGGCGAGCCAGGCTGAAAGGTCTCGGAAGATGGCAGTATCAGGGCGGTGGGTATCATCGAACCCTGGCGTGTCAACCAGGGCCACATGAGATCCATGGTGCTCAAAGTGATATGCTTGGACGGTTCTCGTTTCTGAGCAGATGTCACGACTCTTTCTTCCACGAGGACCTGAATGCGAGGATGGTTATACCCACCAGAGTGGAGAGAGTCGCCAATGTCGACACTGAGCCCCGAGGCCTCAGCAATGAACCTCGACTTGCCGGCCCCAGTCGGTCCCATGACGACAGCCACCATGTCGGCATCCTTGAGGTCGCTATCGTTTTTCAACAGGCTCAAGGCGGATTCCTCCTTCTCGAGGTCAACTCTCGAAGCAGCCGAATAGACTGGTCGCAAAGCCCAGTCCGAACGGGGCAAAGATGAGCCTGGCGGAGGCTTCGTCGCTGGGGAGAAAACGCGCTTCAAAGGCATTCTTTTTATAATGCAGGTGAGTTGTTGTTGGAGGGTTGTTGAGGCTGTGATGGGTGTTCAGGGCACAGTGTTCAACAGCACAGATCTCTCTCTGTAGGAAGATAGGCCCAGCAGACTGCGAAGAAACATAGATTTAGACGCAGTAGAAGGCTCGAAGCTGTCGCCAGTGTCCTTGGTCGATCATGATTCAACTCTTTCTTTTTGAGGCTGAATCCAAAGTGAAAGAAACCCTAAGTGACTCGTAGACTCTTCCTGGACAGCGCACCTGCCGCCAAGCGCAACGAACCAGCGTCGATGGCTCCTGCCAATGGCGTTTACATGATTGGACTTGAATGCGGTGGTGGGGGACGGGAATTGTTGGTCGCTCTACATAATAGGCGAGATCGCCCAGTATCCAGACGCGTCCTGCACGTACCTACATCACGATCACACAGTCGGTACATGGGTCAGCCCGGAGCGGAATCGGCCCTTTCCGTATTATGTATCGCTGCCCCATAAGGCGTTCCAAATCTCTGGTCGGTCAGATCCATCCTATACTTGACGACGACGGCTATGATTGCGACTATCTGGGAGGCAACTGATGTTTTATGTTTTATATTCTGTAGAATTAGGTTGAGCTTCAAAGCCCCAAGGGTTAACACTGAGCATCGACAAGCAGTTGCTCTCGTTGCTGAATAATTCGCATGTATATCATACATCGTCGTATACCTCGCATACCTCGTCTAGAAGAAATCCGACACAGAAACACACCCTCCTCTGTCTCCATTGGGCCGTGGCACATGTCTCGATGCTGTCTCGTTGGATAATTTCTCCTTTGAGCTTCCAAGACCCAAAGCCAAACTCAACTTGGAGGATGTCTTGGATGTCGACTTCGATCTTGGTCTGTCTTTCTTTGTGTACAACAACGGCGGCGGCGGCGCTGACAGCACTTTAACAATAGCGCTGAGTTCACCCGGTTGCTGTTCCTCAGAGCCGGGACATTGGCCCCAGCTGCCCTTGCCCATGCACGTGTTTGGGGACAGAGTACCAACTTCCACCGCCACGCTGCTGTCATCCGTGCGTACTTTTCCTTTTTCATGGACGTTCAAGAGTTCGCCCCATCCGATCAGACCGCCATTCTCATCTCGTCCGGGGATATCTGGCTGGAGATAGAAGAGAGGACGAGAGTATTGCTCGGCGCCTGTTGTGCTATCCGGCACCAGAGACCATCTCCGATCCGTCGGCTGTAATCCAAAAGAACTGTGACGAAGCAGATCGACATGGACAGACGAAACAAGGCTGGGAGCACCAGCTGCGAGTCTGAGAGGATTACGAGGTGGCGGCGCGAGACCACACCTGCGTTCTTCAACTTTTTGAGATCCCCAACCACCGCAAACGCACATACCCTCCTCACTTCTAGGGTGCCTGCGAGACTCCGGATTTGCTATAGCCTTAGAGGACACGTGTGGCCGTTGCGGCGATGGTGCCATAACCCCCTTGTCGGAATCCCGGTTGTACCAAGACCTCTCTTCCCTGTCCGCAGTGATTGGAGAGATGATGCCATCGTCCGGAGCAAGTGGTGAAAAAGGGTTCGTCTCCGGAGAAATGGGCGAAACCAATTCGTGTACAGTATTTTCATAAGCACTGAAGTTGTTTCTGTTTGGGTTGCAAGCATGGGAAACAGCTGGCACTTGGATGTTGGAGATTTGTGCCAAATGTGATGACAGATGGCTCGAAGTAGTCCCTGGACATTGACGGGCGCACGGCAGTATGTGGTTTAAGCTCTGAGTGCTGATTTGGCAAGCTATCTTCTGAGCCCGCAGGCGGGCCGCTTGTAAGGAATTCGATCTGGTCGAGCCCTGCAGATGGTATCTGGAGCTGTCGTTTGAAAACGTGGTATCTCCCTTACCAACCGTTTGACAAACTGACTGAAGGGCGCCGGGTGGGCAAGTGTCTCGAGGGGCGCGCAAGCACCTCAGCCAAGGGAACCCGTTATGCGAGATGGAGAGTGCAAGGTGCATGTTTGGCATCTGGCATCCATCTTCAGCAACAATACCGTCGCCATCACCAGGTGCTTTTGGCGATAAAGATTGAATGTCCCAATGCAAAAATCTCAAGGACGCCGAGGCCAGCACCGGTTGGAACAGGACTCCCACCTCCTTGGGCCAGGAGAGCACGACGTCAGTCTGCAAGATGGTGAATTTCCACAGGCGACCCAAGCTGGCAAATATCTTCGACAGGGTCAGTAAGCTCGTGACATTCTGATGGATCAGGCTCAGTCGTTCAATCTGCGCTGCGTTTGGGTTCGTTGCCCACTGCGTCAACCCTGCGTCTGTGACCCCCAAGCATTCCTCCAGGCGTAGCGTAGTGACACAGGGTGGAAGCGCAAGGAGCGTGTTGTCGTGGAAATCATCAGGATCGAAGGAAGACACGCACAAGTTACGCAACTCGGGCAAGGATTGGAGGACACGAATGAATAGCTCATGTTCGATGACTCCGAGACCGCCTGGTGAAGACAACATGAGGGTTTCGAGGCGCTTCCATCGCTGATGGTAAAGCTCAAACTGGTAGGTTTGGTGTTCGTCCAGAAGGCCCGGCGGGAGTTGTGTCTGACTTCGCACGCTCACATCCTCATTCTCGGCAATGATCCAAACATGCTGGCGGAGCTTGGTTCGCGTCGACAAAGCGTGCGTCAGCCTGTCAAACGTGTGATTGTAGAAAGCCGCGAACCCTGTCAAGGCTTCCAGATTGGGGCATTGCATGACGACGGACGCTACCGTGCAAAGATATGCATCATATTCGGGATTGGGATCGCCACGGGTCGAGTAAAGCGGTATGTTTGGATCTGGCACGTGGAGCGTCCTGACCAGAGCGGCGAGAAGGGGTCTTGAGCGAAGTGTTGACCGCAAACGTATCAGCCGTACTGCCCGCGAGACCCTCCATCTCCGAAGCATCAAGGGATCATCCTTGCCGACAATCTGTATGTTGGTATACCTAGACTATTGAGGAGAATTTTCCATCGGTGGAAGGACAGACTTACAGCATTCGTTGAGCATCAGAGAACCAAGCTTTGCAAGTTAACTGTACCGCAGTCAAATTTCTCATATAGCACGTTGAGCAGGATGAAGACCACGGGTAAGGATCCAAATGGAGACGCCTGAGATGGTCCAGGACAAGCTTCAGGATCGATGATGGCAATTTCTTCCAATTGACTCTTGCCCTCGGTGTTGAGGTGCGAGATTTGATAGTCAATAGTGATGTCAAACGAGGTTGTAACACCGGAGGAGAATATGGCTGCTCATGGCGGCCAAGTTGGGCATACCTTGCTACCACTTCCATCGGGTGTTGGTATATCCCTCTGTAACCTTCTTCTCTAAGCCCATACAACAGAGAACCCGACACAGTGGGTGTTTTCAAGATCCACTAGAATCACTAATGGATTCATTCAGTAGTCCCGAGGAGCACAAAAAGGTACACAGGAAATGTTGGCGTGGCTAGGTTCACGAAAAGTAGCTGAGGTAAAAGTTGGACGTCAATAGGACGTGGCGCGAGAAACAGGGAAGCCATTGCATTCTTGTCCAATAGGAACCTGTTTTTCACGTCCCCCAAAGGGTAGAAGACTCAGGATCCTCGTTGTACCCTTAGTGTCTTGGTGCTTGGTGCTTCTGCATTCAGTCGTCTCGGTCATAATTGTGGTAGATCTAGCAATACGTCCTGTAGAAGAGTTAGTGGAACTACACGCAGCTAGGCAGATGGAACAGTGAGTGGCACAGCACAGGTCTACGAAGACAGAGGAATCTGAAGAAGCACCAACACAAGGACGAATCCAAAGGTTTATGATAGAACTGCCTGAGCACGGCAGTCGTCTATTTGAGGACGTCACCCCTTCCTCGAGTATTGTACATGCCGTGTTCTGCCATGAGTTTCCCAGTGAGGCTGACTTGAAGTGTCTGCTTGGATTTATGCGTAGAAATTGACCCTGCAAACTATGGTGTTAGTCTTGTGGTAAGCGACAGATGGGATCCAGATGGACGTACGTGTCTTTCTTCTTCGCTTGCACCTCCGCAATGGCTTCCACGTATGCTTCGTGATTGACTTTTGATTGCCCTTTGCGAAGTGCAATCATACCTGACAAGAGATAGTTAGCGAACTGGGCCACACATGGACAACGGACAACGACATACCCGCCTCGACACAGACGGCCTTGAGCTGTGCACCTCCAAATTCATCCGTTGACCGGGCCAGCTCGTCAAAGTTGATGTTGCCCTCGTCGATGGTCATCTTTCGCGAATGGATCCGCAGAATCTGCGCACGGGATTCTTCATTCGGCAAGGGGAATTCGATCTTCCGGTCCAAGCGGCCAGATCGAAGTAAAGCAGGGTCGAGGACATCAACGCGGTTCGTGGCGGCAAGGACCTTGATTCTTTCGTCTGAAGCGAAGCCATCAAGCTGGTTGAGCAGTTCCAACATGGTCCGCTGGACTTCGCGATCGCCACTCTTTTCTGAATCGAAACGTTTTGTCCCAACAGCATCCAGCTCGTCAATGAAAATGATTGACGGAGCCTTTTCCTTTGCGAGAGCGAAGCAGTCGCGGACCAACTTGGCACCGTCACCTATGAACATCTGCACAAGTTGGGGACCTGCGAGCTTCAGGAAGGTTGCATTGGTCTGGGCAGCACAGGCACGAGCGAGAAGAGTCTTACCCGTGCCGGGAGGTCCATACATCAACGCACCCTTGGGTGCCTTGATGCCGATCTTTTTGAACCGCTCTGCCTCTTTCATCGGCCAGACCACCGCTTCCACGAGCTCTTCAATCTGCTTGTCTAGCCCACCAACGTCGGTATACTTTTCTGTCGGCTTCTCGTCCACCTCCATCGCCTTGACTCTGGAATCATACTCGGCCGGCAGGGTATCCAAGACCAGGTATGAATCCTTGTTGACACCGATTAGATCGCCAGGTTTCAGTTTATTATGGTCAACCAGACCGATCAGAGGCAAAAAGATAGTCTGGCGGGTGCTTGTCTTGATCACGGCCGATTTGCCCACTCGCGTGGCGTCGAGATCAATGTTGGCGCCTTCTTCGGTTGCTTCAGCTTCGACATCGAGGTCAAGGAGTTCGACGACATTGCCCACAAGGTATGGTAATTGCCTGGATGCGTTTCGTGTTAGCCACGGCTCTTTGAGTTATTGCAACAAAACAAGACACTAAAACCTACCGATTTTGCTCGATCTTTTCCAAATTGTCCTTGATCTTCTCCTTCATCGTACTTTCTTCGTGCTTCAGTCGCTGGAATTCGCTCTTGAGGATCTTCATTTCATTTTCGAGGAGTCGCCGTCGGTTAATGATGTCTCTTGTACTTGACTGGAGAATCTCGTCATCAATGTATTGTTCCTCCTCATCCTTCTTCGATTCCGCGTCCTTCATCTCGGTATCTTTGGCATCGCCGTTGGAGTTAGGCTTCTTGTCTTTGTCATCGCCGTCCTTTCTCTGCTCTTTCTCATCGCGCTCCAGGTCATCGAGATCCTCTAACGTCGACATGATGGAGCCCCTTTTGATGAGGGTCTTGTTTGGTTCTGACTAGGATTAGGCGCTGATGATTCTTAAAATAAGGAATCACGGCAAAGGAGGTCGGTTGAAACGTGGAAGTCAAGTGTTATGTTGAGGGTTTATGGGCAACTGGCTTGATTACAATCCTGTGGAGTCGAGATGGAAGCTCGCAGTTGAGGTTGGAGAGTCGCTGCGGCAAAACCGCGGTTCCAGGCTTGGCACCATTCTTCACCGCGTCACTCTTCGCAGCCTGGCATGCCTGTCCTTAAAGCATCCATCCACCTAATAATCAGCCTTATGACCAGGTTCTTTTCAAGCCTGCCTACCGTGCACCTTGCCATATCGTCTAATAGTTTGTCCATCAACCCTCTAAGAGGTGGTCCTGGTCCCTTCCACAGCTCAACTTCATCACCGTAGAAAAGCAGACAAGAAAGTGGTTGATGACAAATTATCTCTATGGAAAGCTTTTTGTGATCTTTCAAAGCGAACGAAAAAGCGCCCATTGCAGTCTATCGGGGGTATATACCTGCCGAGTATCGAATCTCGGCCGCTGAAAGAAAGAAGTAAAAGAGGCCGACAACAAGGTCCGTGACAACGTCAACCGATGTGTCCTGTGTTTCCTTTTTGGCCAAACACCACCACCACCGTACTCCGTACAGGAGGTGCCTCATGTTTTCGTGCGGCAGACTCTGACCGTGACAATGGCCCTGTTGGACCAACTCGAACAGCCATGTAGCACATTTCAACCTCGTTCATTGAACCCACCACCTCATTTCACATAGCTAATTACAAGAATGATGATGCAGCAAACCTCTTGGGACAATCCACCATCCTCCGCGATGCCATGCGATGCAATCTCTGACGCAAGCCATAAACCGTTGGCATCCTTTTGTGTCGATTGAAGTCTCGTAAAAACACGGTGTAATAACTGTGAAACAAACAAAGTCTTTGAATGAAAGAAACAGGCCCCCCCCCCCCCCGCGTGACAACCCATTTGCTGAATAACCCCGACGCCAGCCCGGTAATAAACACTGTCCTTGAGTCGGAACTTTTGGTGACTTTTCCTTCCATGAAAGCGCCGCCCAGGCATCCCCATCGTCAATGTATAGAGAAAGGAAAGCTTTGATCTATTCTTGGAGAGTTGCTCGCTTTAGATGCTGAATAACGAAAGACAAGAAAGTGCCGGTCGTAAAAGGTCGTTAGATTGGGAACTCGATTAGAGAAATTTTGGTGGACGAGGAGCATGTTGACCATGGCACCATCAACCGTGATGGGCCCGCCCCTCGCATGGTCCCGACATTGGTTCTTTTGAAGGTACGTAGAAGGTCGACGGTGGTAAAAACAATACCGAACACCGCGGTATGATTCGAGAACTTTTTGAACCGGACCCATATCGCTGAACGCTGGAGTGTGAACAATTTAACCCACTACAGTTTGCATGGCGTATCCCGGGTGATTGAAGTAATAATCCGAGTGCTTGGCATGGAGACTGCAGCCGCAGTTGGGACCGTGGGAGACCCAATTCGGAGCCAAACCGGACCCATAGCCAAACGTCTGAGAGTACGTAGGCAGCTGATTCCGTTGAGTCGAGTATGCCGACGCACCATCAGAATGGTACTGCTGGCGGCCATATGCTGGAGGACCACCCGGTGTGAACGTCCAGGAAGCATTGTAATAATCAGGAGTGGGCGGGCCACTGTGTGGAGCAGATGGTGGTGAATATTCCGAAATATAAGCACGAACCCAACGGGTATCGTATTGCGAGCCTTGCTGATACTGAGGTGGAATGGGCCCTTCCGGGGACATCAAGGGTTGATTCTGGATGGGATGATGGCGATGAAGGTTTGTCTCAATCGGAGCGAGCTTTTGAAGCTCCTTGACTTTGGCAAGCTGAGCCTTTTCTTCGTAGGCATGCCAGTGCTCAACCCACATGAAGAAGCCATCATCCTCGTCGTACATCATCCCGTGGATCTCCCAGTTGAAGTCTGTCAACCACTGCAGCTCCATCATGTTCAGCTCGTGCACTGGAATGCTGCTGACTTCGGCCCAGGAACGATTCTGGAATGTGTTGTCGTCAAGAAATTTACTGCCGAGAAGAAGGCAAGTGGTGAGCATGCGATAGACAGTGCCAGAGGACGAAGTTGACTGCCCGCGTTCATTCACCTGCTTCATTCGTGAAGCCAGGTAGTACAGCCCCAGCATGATTGTAGAGCTTGGGAGGCGAGTAGATGACAGAATTTGGGACACATATTTGCGGAACTGAGATGTTGGTGCGGACTCTGGTGTTACACTGAGGCAAGAAGTTAGAGCGTGGTCTGTTGGATCTGAATCTGCGGTACTCACAGTTTTTGGGACATCTCGGCCACGAAGCTGGACATCAAGTCCATATCGTAGTCCAAGTGTTGCGCTACCCCTCCTGTTGGCTTGTCCTCCTTAGGCTTGGACTCAGTGTGCTGTGCTCCATAATGTGTTGGAAATTGATCCAAAGCCTCGGTGACACGGATAGGAGGGAGAATAGGCGCCCCGACGTGGTTTGCCCAGTAGGACGAGCCGTGCATATGATAGGGTTGTGGATATGGATATTCTTGTGACGGGTGAGCATGCCCGATTCGCGACACCTGTCCTGCCAAAGATGGCTGAGCTGTGTAGGCCGGGGGAGGCTGGTATCTGTCGTTGTAGTCTCGCGACGAGAGCGATCGACGAGAGTGATAACCTTGCGAGTGATAGAAGCCTTGATCAGACACCGCACTCAAGGGCGTGAGATAAGTGGGTTGGTACTCCGGCGGCGTCGGGGGAAGTCGCGCGTGTTGGGGGGCTGCGCCCCAGCTGTGATAGGAAGGCATGCTCGATCGAGGAGGGTTGAGCAGAGCAGACAAGCCGTGGGCTTTGAGATTATCAGTATCAAGTACGATATATCTCTTTGAGCTAGGATAGATAACTCACCTGTCTGCTTCCGCTGACTGCGCGGCCACGCCCTAGGCGTTGAAGCCGGAGCTTAGGTGCTGCTGTTTTGATCCCACTCAAAAGCAGGTCATGGATGGAGTCGGTGTTCTTGTCTTAGCAAGCGCAGCGGTTCCAAGAGGGGTGGCAAACTGAATGACAGAAACAATGATAACAGGTGTCTGGTCGATCCGACGTAGTCGTAGCAATCTGCGTTGACTAATGGGTAGACTGTCGTGGACAGTGGTTGGCAGACAGGAACCTTGCAGATTAATCTAAGTTGAGCCAAAGCTCGAGATGGGTGACAAGACTTAGTGAAAAGCTCGTCGAGATGGCTGAATCTGGCGGTGGCCAAGTGGAAGGTGGTGCTGTAATGGGAGGCTCGTTCGAAGGACAACCTGCAGGCGCGAAGGCAGTCAGAACATGAGCGTCCAAGAAGATCAATAATGCCCGATGTTGGGGTCAGGCATTTGTTTGTCACAGACAAGAGACATCAGAGACGGGGTATGAGCATACCTAGTGACACCTCGATGTGTGGCCGGATCACTCCAAATCAATCCACGATGCACTGCTCTCGCGATGAAGTGGCAGTTTTCGATGTTGGACGTTTGTTTGAGAGGAAGTACAGACACAGAGGTTTTGTGACGGAGAATTTGAGCGTGGGCAGACGGGTACGCCCCGAATTTGGCAACACACAGCCACTAGGTAACGACAAAGACTGGAGCGCAGGCAAGGGCCAGGGAAAAAATGGCTCTGACGGAACTCGTGACTGGATGTTCGTTGGTCAGGAAAACAAAAACCTCCAATCTGGCCACCAAGTCGCAAACGAAATGGTTTGAACGGTGCCTGGGACGACGCAAGGCTTGCGAGACGTAGTTGGTATGGCGAAGCAAGACCAAATATCGGTAGCCTGGCGACAGTGGTGCCGTGGGAAATTGTGGCAATCAAGCTGACCGCAAGGAGTCGTCACCCACGAGGTGCACTTGAGGCAGGACGTGGGCCCCAGTCCGAAATTAACAATTCGAAGGGCTGGGTGGGCGTGGGAAAATCCTGTCGGACCGCCGAGAATAGCACTGGTGGCTGCACCAACAAACAACGACTCAGACCGTGGGTCTTTTGGGGCTTTGGTGACCGGTCGCTTTTTTTCGGGATGAGAGGTTTTTGAGAGAAAGATTTCAGGGAGGGAAGAAGAGAGGGTTGAAGATGGAAAGAAAAAAGACTGAAGGGAGATGGAGATGAATGAGGTCGAAAATTTGAGCTACAGCAGCCGGAGAGAGGGGAGGGCCAGGGAAAGGGAAAAAGGAGTGGTGAAGAAACTCTGAGAAAGGGCAGCAACGTACGAGTGAAGATGTGTGAGTGGAGGAGGGCCAGAGGGAAGGGGGGAGGGAAGGGAAAGGGAAAGGCGGAGGTAAGAGGGCGCGGGTGAGCCAAAGGCGAAACCGAGGATGGGCGCAGGACGATGGGCGACGCCAGGGCTCAAAGCGAGCTTAGGCTCGTTGAATCTGGGCTGGGTTAGGTAAAGGCGGCTGCAGCGAAGAGGAGTCGGAAGGGCAGGGAAAAAGTAGGAAGGGAGCGCCGGATAATTCGTCAGGAGGGCTGTAGAGAGCCACCCTCTAGGCACCCTAGGCACCCTAAAGCAACCCACAGGCACCCACAGCCGCCCATAGGCCCGTTGGCTGGCCACGCGGGCAAGGGCAAGGGACCTGCACGAGGGGATTTTGGCCCAGTCAGAAGACCTGGCCAAAGCATTCTAGGTGGTGGGCTGACTTGATTGTGCTGTTGCTTGGGTTTGAGGAGGCATTGAGCATAACAGCTATGACAATATCACACAGGGGTACACACCCACACACAGGCTCCTTCGTATATGTCTTTACGATGCTTGATACCTATGAAGTACGAGCAGGTGTGGTGGTTGAGACAGCCCCTGATCACTAGCTGAAAAGAGTCCCTTCTGCCACTCACTTTGAGCCAAGAACCAAAGTCAAAGTGGGCATCTACATATCTAGGCATCAAATTTCCATGGGGCTTTGTTTGGTTTTAGCAACACCAGCAGTCACCACAGCACCACAGTGAGAGAGCCATTAATAATTGAGAGACTCGCTAGGAGACAAACAGGACTAGTCGCTTCCAACAGACCCAAGTGGCTTAAGTGGCCCAAAAGTTGGGGTCAGGCCTCGATCATTAACTGAAGAAACTACGACCAAGTGCCAGCCAATGGCTTGACAGCCTTGACTGGTGCTCACTCTAACTGCGTTTCTCCGGTCCGTCCGAACACCGCCTTGGCCTTCTTTTATGTTTTTTTTTAACTCGTAATTCTGCAATTGCTCTGAGTGTCTGCGCCCCCCCTAGGAAGATCCCTTTGATCCCCTACTGCAACGCTCGAGACCGCCGCAAGGGTAAGCACTGACGACACTGGCACCCATCAATAGCCCCTGTTCACACCCCTCATCCTCAGCCTTCAGCCGTGCGATCCAGTCCTTAGGTACAGACTCCCAAGTTGGAATAATCACTCGTCGGTGCATGGCTTGCTTTGATCGACAAGCCACCATAGGTCATGACTCGGCCGGGCCTCGAATTGCTGGCAATGACTGATATCACTGTCAAAACCGGCTCTGGTGTTGCCTTGCAAAAAAAAAAAAGAGTAGCATTCCATACGAGTATATCGGTGCAAAATATTTCATCCACTCTTCGGCTCCTTTAAAACTTTCCCACCATTGTGCCGCTTGCCACTTCCAACTGACGACATGATTTGAGCACGATCAACTGGCTCTAACATCCGCCACTCGTTACGAGTTGGTGGTTGTTCAAATTCCTTAGCCAGGGCCAAGAGTAGTCACTCGCAAAGAAGAAAGGCCACCCCGCGTCACCATGACAGAAGTGACAGCATGAACATGGAATGAGTTTGCCCCAACAAGGACTGATGGTTTGCCGCTGTGGCTCTCTCTACACACGTAACGGCGACGGCGTTACCCTGTTATCATTTGGGCCCCAATGTTGATGCCTATTCTCCTCACACCCCTACGCATTCCCCTGCCTCATGTGGTGTGTCTACTCGGTAGAGAAACCCAATTCAGCGTCACTAAGCATCGATGTGCGTAGGACAAATAATTGCTGACCGACAAAGCCCCGATCCGCTAAGGGAAACAAGGCCGCTACAGCAACTACGTATTCGTAGAGCTGTGCATGCTTCGACGTTGCCATTATTTCGAACACGGGTTGGTTCCCAAGCACAACGACATCATCGTGCGCCCGCCCCTCACGTGGCCGGTGTGCAAGTGCCTCCCAAAGTGCATTTGCATAAGATGCCGCACCCCATCCACGGTATACCCTCCACAGCACACAATCCGGCCCATCGGCTGTGTCTAGCTCTGAATCATCTCCATCAATGAAGTATGTGCAAAGGCAATTGCAAAGGGAGCTTTAGCCCGTGATGCACACCCACACCGTAGCTTTCTTCTGCAGCTTCCTGCTCCCGTGCCCTTCAGAAATGGTCGGCTTACCGCGGCACAGAATTCTCGGCGGTCATATGCAGACTGCCAAGTCGATTCTTCAAGGGGACTGGGGTGAATATTCGAAAGGGGTAATTGGTCCAACGGATCAGAAGCTGCCCAGGGGTGGTCGGGAATGGAGTTGATTTGTCCAATCACAACCTCGACGATTTTCTCTCCCAGAAATACCGCCGGAAATCGGTCTGCTTGTGCACTCTGCCTTCAAGGTAGAGAATTTCTGGAGCTCATCTTAAACATGCCCCCTCATCAACCCCCGACTTCCACCGAGTTTGAGTTCGGGACTTCCAATAAAGTGTCTTCCCACACACAAAAGGCCGGGAATTGCAGAGCCCACGGACCCTGGGGCCCCACCCTTGTTCCTGACAACGGTAGGAACACATGGTTGGCATTTCACGACGGTTGGATCCAAAGACCCAATCCAAGTCAGTGATCTTTGGGATCACTTCTCCGCCGTCGGGTGGACGAGCACAATAATGAGGAGAACGTTGATGTCTGGTAAATGGCACCCTGTCCAGAAAGTAGCGGCGTCGGCTCGAAGGGTCGTGTGTAGATATTTTTGATCAGTGCTGGGTGTGAATGGTCCGACATCCGCAGAGGTTGAATCCTTCGAAGAGTATGCTTTACCCACAAGGTCGACTCACTTCGGAAACCATTCAAACGAAGGCAGAAGGTGTGCTCTAAGCCCATCTTCCCGTTCCGTATGCCACTTTTCCCGCCATTCGTGCTCGCGTGATTTGGCTTCTTCAAACGCGCGCAAACAGTCATCGGGAAGCTCTTCGAGGATGTCCATTGGGATTGACGAGAGGGTACCCCCTTCCTCAGTGGTACCAGGCGTCCCATACCAGGACTCCGGCGCCGATTCGAGACATAGATCATGAATCCGGAAATTTCGTCCATATACAGGGTCGAGGTGAGGTAAACGCCCTGCTTTCTCCTGATCTTGGGTAGCCTCTCGATCATCGACCATTTCCCATCGTGCATGCGTGGGTTGCATATGGGCTGGGTACTGCATGACATTGGTGTGTATGTCGTAGAGACCGTGAATATTTTCCAGTCGGTTCGCCGTCAATTGCGCGTTGAATCGGCTATGCACATGAGTCAGTTCAGGTGTCCGCCCATCTGATAGTCAGCTTCTTACCTGGCTTCCCTTGCATGTTCCAACATCCAGTTATCGCTCGTTACCATAATCTTTCGCCTCTTGGCCTCTTGCGCTTTCGCGAGAGGAAGAGGCACACTGGGCGCGTTCGTGTGGTAGACTGCGCTGGCACCATGCCACGCCACATATTGATTCCGATTGTAAGGCTCTCCAGGGGGCGGCAGGCGATCTTCCGGGACAGCTATCTCACCCTCGACATCACCACGTTCCCGTGCTTTCTTAGTCTCGTAGTCGTCTATAATCTTTCTGCCTCCGATGATGATCCTGGCTCCAAACTCTCGAAACACAGACCGAGCCGTTACCACTCCGATGGCACGGCCTTTGTAAGAGTGAGGGATCAAATCTCTTTCAATGAGATCCCGCTTTTCATCGTCGTCAATGATGATCTTGTAGAGGTGCCTGTGTTTCTGGAAGAACAGATAGGAGTCGCGAAAACCAATACAACGCGCCGGCTCTGTTGATAGCATGTAGAGTCTGTCGTCTCTGCCGAGAATTGTAAACGTTCGCACCCGATATTCCCTACCGCCCAGCAAACGCCCATTCTTATCTACCTTCTGCTCGCCTTCCGAGTCCTCAGGTAGTAGAACTTCGTCATTGACAATTTCCATCGGATTTCCGTCATCGTCAAGAGGAGCTTGCTGTGGCCGGGACCCTCCCGCCCGGTATTTAGCCCATCGCCCACCCCTGTGACCCCGGAAACCTCCTCTACGTTTTGGGGTGGCTGTTTCAGAAGCCGCATCGTTATCTCCATCGTCTGACGCTGTCGCAACACGATGCTTTGGGGGCCTGCCGAGTCTGCCTCCTCGACGCCCACGGGGTAAGGGGGGTCGACCGCGGCGAGGAGTCGCGGACCGAGACGGCTGCTCTGACTCTCGTGATGGAGTTGGAGCTTCCTCTGCATCGTTCATCCCATCTTCTTCATCTTCATTCTCTGCGTCTTCGTCATCGTCTTGTGGTGTAGGCGCCTCCACCGGTGTAGCATCTGGCATCTCTTCGTCCTCGTTGTCGGATATGTTAGGGATAGGAGTACCTTCGCTCAAAGTTAGCAGATGTGATTCAGTTTGAAAGATGTATCAAAAAGGCTTACGCATCGAGGCTTGAGCCGCTTGAGCCGCCAGACGTGGGCGCCGAGCCATTGTGTCGACAAGCCCCCAATTGAAATGTAGTAGTCTTTTATCTTGAAGAATCTCCGTCTTGCGACTTCACACCTTGCAAACAAGCGGCGAAAGCGCGCGCCACGCGAATGAACCAATAATCTTGGCGTGGTACGGCGGGCTATAAAGTCACTTGGGGAATCTACGGTCGACTGCTCGTGCACTTTGCGCCAATATTCGACCAGACATGCCAACCAAATATGCTAAGCATTCCAAAGCAATGAATTCTCGTGATAAAGATGAAGAGTTTGTCTCAAAGCCCCTCTATTCCTACCTACTAGGTCGCTCTCAAATCAATACGAGATGAAAATGTCAGTCGCAGGAGTACAAGGCATCCCAACCCCAAAACCTAGTCATCATTCAGGCCTTTTGCTTGCATTCAGCCTTATCACCAAAGTGCAAAGCACCCTACCAAGCTAGGTAGTTACACAACATCTTGCCAGTGTCTTCGATTTACTATTCCTCAACAGCTGGTCATCTGCACAGCCGGCCCCGGCCAAGCCGTGCATAGAATCGCCGACTCATCGGAGAACATCGTTCGCACTCATTATTGGACGGGTATCGCTCTCGTCCGGCACGCTACCCTAGAAAAAAGGATTTTTGACCTGTTCGACCTTCGCGAAGAGATGGAAAGAACTCATGTGTTCGAACATGAGGATGTCTTCTTCATCCAGGTCAGACACGCCTTGCGCAGATATTCTACGAACAAGATTTTTTCCTCTGTCATGAGTGGGTCGAATACCTACAAAGTAGACATCCCGTGAAGTTATGGAGATGTGCGATATCATGTAGCCTGCGTAGACGAGATAGCCGAGCGAGAGTCACTGGCACCACTGGCACCTTCAGAGGCCATATGACATGGCGGGGCCTCCGAGATTTTGCATGTGCTGAGTGCTGAGGTGCTTGGTTGAACAGGGATTTTTGGGACACTTGCAGCTGACCAAGAGACGCAGATTCCACATGCAAATCAATCTCGATCTCAGGCTACTATTCTTACCTATGAGTTGCACCAACCTCGAGCCTTGAGCAACGAATTCTCCTTCCAAGAACGAAGTAGAGGGACTTTCCTCCACTGCCACTTGTGCTCGGCCCAAGGCAGATAATAACATGAGGAGGCCCCGAAGAGGAATGAGGGTTAAACTTTCCAAGGCCATGCGGAAGTCAATCCCTTCTTCGCATCTCCCCATGTGCATGGATGACGTCGTCGCCGCTTCCCTCTCTTCATTAGTATTTTCTCGATCCATCCGTCCACCGCCATTCAGTCATGGGTGCTAGGCAAAGGCGCGTTATCTAAGTCGCTGTGTCCTGGTACTTGTATGTTTGTGTCGTAAGCCCTTGCTAGTTTTGTTGAGCACAGCCTGGTCCTGAGTGGCACATGGTGTACTATGAATTGGTAGGTTTCTGGTGGTGCCCGCCCAGTGCAAAATTCCCACAGCTGGAAAAGGACTCACCGATAATCGAATAATAATGAGGATGACGGATCGTCTGCTGTAACTTGACGCTTAGGTTGCCCGTCGCTCAGCGTCAGGGACCCCGGAACTTGTCCTGGATCTTGACCCCCCAAGCCCCCATAGGCGGCACCAGGAGGTGTAGCCACTCGACCACAACATGACTCTTGTACCTAGCATGGACCTTTAGAGCCTCTGGCAGCCTCTATTATTTGACTTTGGATGTTGCCATCAGTTCCCAGTTCTTAAAATCCCTTCTTCTTCTCTACTTTATTGAGCTTCTTTCGCCGGGCTACCCAAACGACCTCGTTCTGCACATAGTTTTGCCATCATACCACTTTCCGCTATCCCGCCCTCACCCCATTTTGTGGTTGCCCTTCCCACGTCAATCCCCCCCCAAAAACCTTAGAGGCTTCGCCTCCCAGAGGAGGACCTGGGCCCGCCTACTTTTTCTCCAAGTCACACTTTTTTGACCTCTCGCTCTGCAACTCGATTATATCACCCACCAGTGCTCCCCCGTCTTGACGAGCTTGCCGTCGTTATCTTTGACCCTCACCACCAAATCGCCACCTCAGAGCCCAAATTTTTCACTCGAGTTTCATGTTTCAGTGAAGGTCCGGATGGCCACTATTCTGAGTTAAGACGATATCGCGAACGAGCTCCGAGAAAGCCCTACAATCCTTGTCGACCGATCTCCCGATTTTCTCCAAATTCTGCATCTCTTCCGTCACTGCCTCTTCGAGCCTGCGGTCCGGGAATCTCAGGAACCAAAATACCCCCTCCCTGCACGGGTGAGCGCGGCGACACTTAGCCCGCAAACTTCGTAAAATAAGAGTTGTGCTCGGATTTTTGAAAGAGGAGGAAAACCAGAGCGAGAGAGGAGGCCGCCAACATGGCGCAGACTGGAGTCAACCCAAATGCAGCAGCTGCAGCAGATCTGTTGAGACAAGCCGTGGCTCAAAAGTATGTCCCGATCTTTTCCTTTGAGCCATCAAGTTTCGTGTCGGGAAAGAGCTGCGTATGGCTGGCCATGTGGATGGCGGGGTTGATTCTACCCCAGCCTCGGTTTTGAGGAGATCCAAACCAACTGGGCACTTTGTCACCCTGGCCTTCTAAAGACTTATGACCTTGTGAGTCAGGTCTCCAGGCTCATGGGTCATTGGGGAAGAGATATATGGTGTGTCCGATCAAAGAGCAGGATCCAGAGGCAGATACCATGTTCCGCCCCGTCGGGTTGGGCTCCGGCTATGCTGCACCTGCAAGCTCGTCGTCATCGAAGAATTCTCTGTTTGAACGTGCAAACCCTCTGAGCCTTCTAGCTAACCTTCCGCATAGTAGTGCGAGACATGAAAACCGAGAAGACTTTCACGATCAGATTGGATCGAATTCACCTACACCGTCTGGTGTAGAGACGCCGCGTCCAGATCTCCACGACAAACGGCTGCCGGGTATAATACACGGTTATTTTGGCCAGGTGGGTAGAGATCCTTCTCAGCATGCACCGTCACGGGCATCTCAAGCTGCCGCGAACCCTGAACATGAATCCGAACAACCTAAAACAGAAAGTCAGAGCAGGCGAGGTTCGTCGGCTTCGCTGGGCTCTATGGTGATTGTGGAACGAGAACAAGCTTCCATTCCAACACCACCACCAGAAGAGCTACATGATGAGTCTGCACCACCCGTCACGGACGAGGGCCCTTCTCAGTTACCACCTACGCCAATCTCATCTGCCGCTTCCGTGGTGCATAGAGATGGCGAAGTGGCAGAGAATGGCGGGTCCCTACTGGATGGTGGCATATCCTCCATCACGCAGGCCTTGAGGAATTTTGTACTCCCCAAGTCTGTATCAAGCGTGAAGGATCGCCGCCACCAATCCTTACCCGTCTCAGGTGTTACTAAAAGCACCGTTGCAGCCGCACATATTTCAAACCCTGCATCATCCACGAATTCTTCGAGACCACAGAGCCCCAAGTCTCCTTCTCCAAGTCATGCTAAGCTACCATCGTCTGCAATTTCAAAAGGGTCAGATGAGCTAACTTCCAACGTGGCCGATGTGCCGCGTGAAAAGAGCACCCCTCCTCATACCCCTCGAGCCCTGTCCCAAGAAGATCATCGACGGGCTGATACTCGGTCGCCACTTTCGAGCACGAGTACCACCGTCAGTGAAGGAAATTCCCAAGTCGAGAAACGTTCTCCAGTCAAAGATGAAATACCCAACAGTACGCCACGGGGCAAACTTTCCATCAAGATTGCCGAGGGTCGGGACTTGAAGCCGTCATTCGATCCCTATGTAGTCTGTCAATTTGAATGGAATGAATATGTCTCCAAAGGACCCAGACATGACAAGATGGATGTTGACGTCGACGACCTGAAAGGCCCGGTTGGTCAGTTACAGTCAGTTCGGAGAACCGACAGTGACATGGGGAAGCCAATGGCTATTCCCATGAGAAGTCGCCAGAGCAGCACAAACGGAGATGGCAGAGTCACTGACCCCCAGTGGGACCACGAGGCCATCTTGTAAGTGAATCGGGACACACCTCAATCTACTTTTCAACTAACTGCTTTCCAGCGACGTCGTGAGCGACCAGTCGGAATTGGATGTGACCGTCTATGATCGTCACGCAGAAACATTCCTGGGCCATATTAGATTGTGCCTAAAGCTGACAGAACAAAATCCTACACTGGAAGGTTTCTTCAAACTGGAACCTCGAACCCCAGATGATCACGATATCACAGGCGAGGTTCACATCAGGATGCACTTCTCTCCGGTCGAAAAGAAACATGTCGGCCCAAATGATTTTCAGATTCTCAAGCTGATCGGGAAGGGCACCTTTGGGCAAGTTTATCAAGTCCGGAAGAAGGACACTGGCCGTATTTACGCTATGAAAGTCCTGTCAAAAAAGGTCATTATTCAGAAGAAGGAGATTCAGCACACGATTGGAGAACGAAACATACTGGTGCGGACGGCAACCACGGAGTCTCCCTTTATCGTGGGTCTCAAATTCTCGTTCCAGACCCCGACCGATCTTTATTTGGTTACCGACTTCATGTCGGGGGGCGAGTTATTCTGGCATCTCCAAAAGGAAGGTCGATTCAAAGAAGACCGCGCCAAATTCTATATCGCCGAGCTTATCCTTGCTCTCAAGCATCTCCATCAATCCGACATTGTCTACCGAGATCTCAAGCCCGAGAATATCCTTCTTGACGCGAATGGCCATATTGCTCTGTGTGACTTTGGTCTCTCCAAGGCCAACTTGGCACAGGACGACACTACCAATACCTTCTGCGGAACAACCGAGTATCTCGCTCCGGAGGTGTTGCTTGACGAGCAGGGCTACACTAAGATGGTGGACTTTTGGTCTCTCGGTGTCCTGGTGTTTGAAATGTGCTGTGGATGGAGCCCATTCTATGCCGAAGACACCCAGCAAATGTACAAAAACATTGCATTCGGTAAGGTGCGGTTCCCGAGAGACGCTTTGAGCACCGAGGGTCGAAACTTTGTCAAGGGACTGCTGAACCGCAATCCTAAGCACCGACTTGGTGCCCATGGAGATGCGGAGGAGCTGATGCAGCATCCCTTCTTTGCGGACATTGACTGGGATGCGCTTGGCAAGAAAAATCTCGTGCCTCCGTTCAAGCCCAAATTGACGTCGATCGCTGATACTTCCAACTTTGATCCCGAATTCACCAACGCTCTCAATACCTCATCGTCTCTGAATGCTCGGGCGGCCGCCTTGGCTGCTGGCGCCGCACCAGCATCGACGCCATTATCGCCCACGATGCAGAATGCCTTCCAAGGGTTCACCTTTGTGGATGAAAGCACCATGGAACAACAATTTGGTGGGGCACGAGATGCCGAAGACCATCGGGTCGATGACAATTTCCTCGCTCGGACGAGAACGCTTGAGCATCGAATGAGCGGTGTACAGAAGACGGGTGAGGACGGCTTCTTTTTCGAGGAATGAAGATCTGAGAAGCTATTTGACGCCTATGCCCTTGTTGGATACCTGAGCCCGTGGCGCAATCCCCACAGGCGCAGGCTTCCTAATGTGGCTCTCTAATCCCACGTACACGGCAGCTTGTCGGACCCATTGATAATACCCAGAGGACGAAAAGGACCCCCAAAAGCCACCATACGTTCATAATGATTTTTCTGTGCATAGCGTTGCTCATGCTGGAGCATACCTTGAAGTGGGGTTTGGCGCAGCATGCTCGATTGCATAACCCACAAAACAAAAAGCAAAACTGTTCTAATTTTTTTTACCCTTGGTCGTCATGTGTTTCCACGCGCTACGTTTTAACGACTCGGGAATTGATAGGGCTATCATGATCTGGCGAGACGAGACAAAGATGAAAAGGCAAAGGGATCAAGCAATTGTCAATCCCGAATGAACGAACCCAGTTCCAATTTGACATGGGTGGGCGGCGGCCCTGGATGGATGGTTGGGTGGATGGATGGTATATGGTTTGCAGCTGGGGGGCATGGATGTATGTAGGAGCCGAGCTGGAAAAGAAAATATTATCTACAAAAGAAAAACCAAAACGAGACAGTCACATGGACCCTACACCTGGACCTGGACCTGGTCGATCAAGAAGACCTGGAAAAGCGTTCGGCTCGAGAGAGACACGGTGATGAGTAAAGCAAGCATGCAAAACAAGCAGATTGACACTGTACATCAAAACCCCCGTTGAATCAATCTTGGAGTGTTCCTTCAGCCTCTTCCAGCCTTCAAAAAAAAAAATTTTCTTACCCGGTTTGCTCTCTGTTTTTTCTTCTTTTTGTTTTGGGAGGGGGGCTTGGTCATCCTCATCCTCCGCTCATAACTCCTCTTTGACTGACCTGGTCTGGCCCGATCTGACTGAAGTCATATGTATACAATATCGAGTGAGCCATGAACCGTGGTGCCAATATGAAACTACGAGTATTCTCGGTAGGTAGGTGTAGGTGTATAGGTGTATAGGTACGTATGTACAACTGTATGTATGAATCGAGTAACCTCGGAGAATCATGCTCGATGTATCCTCACAGCTGGGATCGATGGGATCTGTGGGATCTATGGTCGAGATGAGATGAGATGAGACCCTTCTACCACTGCGGTATTCATTTCCCCTTTTCTTCTTTCTTTTTTTCCTCGTCAAAGAATTCTCTGGTCCTGTTCCGATGCTTTTACCCTTCTCTCTCCTACCCGTCGTGGTTTATCGTTGTTGGAAAAAAAAATGGAACAGAAAAAGAGGAGAGAGGGAAAAAAAAGAGTGGTTGTTGTGGGGTGGTCTTGTTTCTGTCTGTCTCTGTCTTTGTCTCTCCAGTTCTCTCGCTCTAGCTCTCGCTCCCACTTTGATAGCTAGCCAGCTCAATACCACGTTCCACGTTCCACGGCTTACCGGTGCCTGTTGACTGGTGACTGGTGACTTGCTCAGGTTCGGTCGTGAGCGAGACCCCTCCCATGCTCGGAGGCGGCGGCGCCTGTACCTGTACCTGTACCTGTAGAGGAAGTAGAAGAGGTCGACTCTGGCGGCACGACCGTGCCCCGCTGCTCAGTACCCACTGGCGGCTTGCCCGTCTTCGCTGCCAAGCGAGCATCCTCTTCGCCCATCTTTGCAAAACCCTTGTCGGCCATGTGTTTCTGACCCAACACGGTCCCCGTGGCCGCTTGGAGCGAGCCCGTCACCCCGTGCACAGCGCCCTTGATGTCGCCGAGGATCTTGTGCGTGGAGGGCGCGTGCGGTGCGGTCGATGGGTCTGAAGAGCTGGTATATGTCGCGCTGGGGTTGTGTCGATGGGGGGAGTGCACGGAGGAATCATGCGTTGGGCCGTGTTGGTGAGACGAGTGTGCGTGGTGATCGGGGTGGTTATGGTGGTGATTATGAGAGGACATGATTTCCAACCTGTCTTTTCTGACCGAGTGTGCGGGATCTGTGTCAGTCTCGATGAGGTTGGTAGTTGTGTTGGTGGATGTGCTGTGAGGTATACTGGTAAAGGTTTGCTCTCGGGGGTCTTTTGTGTATATTCAACCGTCTGTGATCAGGGAGCAGTGACAAGGGAGTTGGAAGAGGTTGCTTCCATAAGCCTCACTTCAGCCTGGCATCTATTCACCTCGGCGAGTCCCTCGTTTCTCACAAAGGTATTCAGTGAATGGAAGTGTCGATGACGTAGGTCTCACGTCACAACTTTGGATCCAAGCACGTGCAGGCATTTCGCTTGGTGCTGGGCATAAACCAATGAGAATCGAGGCAGGCTTGTTTGCCCGATTTGCCTGATTTGTCTGATGCGTGTTCCATCTTCGACGCCAAAAGCTCGCGCCAGATACACCCGGGTGTAGTCCCCAGTTCTTGTATTCTCCTGGATTGAAGCCGCTTCATGTGTTCTGTAGTGCAGACAGGTTGTCGGTCTGGAAACCCAGGCAATGTGACTTCCCTGACCAAGCAATGCTCTGCCAGGTCCATGGATGGCGAAATGCGGCATCTCCCCTATCGAGGCGGTCGTCTCTGTCATCGATGAATGAACCACGCATCATTCCACGGGTATATCGAGGCTGATAAATGGCAGACACTACCTCCGTCCCACAATCAGGTCGACTGTCATCGGCGGACATTCGACAGACGGGGTTCATTGTGCAATACCTCCCTTGCCAGAAGATGTCTCATTTCAAGAGACCTCTACAGCAGAGTCGCTGTCGGTGCGATTGCCATTGGCAGAGGAAACCCTCCCAGGGGCCGAGACCTGAACTGCAGCAGCCTCGGGTACTGGGGAAACTCTCAGAGTACCATGCTCGAGCTGCTGGGCAAGCTGGCGCTCATACCATTCATTAGATCTGGAGCCAAATCAGCTGTGTTCCAAGACGTTGGGCAATCACTCACTGTTGGAGAAGGACCTCCCCGCTCTCCCTCGAATGCATCTTTTTGAGGTGTTGCTTGAAGTTATCCAGTCGAGGCCATTCCTTCTGCGGCCTTGAACAGTCTCTCCCGAAGCACTTGTAGGACTTTAATTTCCTGTTGTTGATCCTGTGGATGACAAAGAGATGTCTGTCCAGGTCGTTGCGGGTGGCAAAGCCCTTCCACTTCTGCGGGCAGCCCTGGATTGGGCATTTGTGGTCGCGGTTGTGGCGCGCAAGGTGTTTTCTTGTGATTCGTACGTCAGCAGTGGTCTTTCGAGTGCTATAAGAGCGGGGTGGATGTGTATACTTAAGGTCTGAGCGGCTTTTTGCACGGTAGCCGCAATCGCCACATTCGAGGTCTATCAGACTGCTCAGTCTTCCGATGCTCGTGCGCCCGTCTCTTGCATCGGCGAGCAGCACTGTTGCCGCAGCATGTGGCAGTCTCTCCTCGAGCGAAGCCGTATGATGGACGTTCTGTGATTGTCCCAGAGCCATGGTGTTGCCATTTTGTGGAGACAATTCTGAGATGTTGGTATGAGCATCGTCTTTGGAAGGGTTCTGTTCACCAGCAGCGAGGCCGCTGTCCTGTGGACTATAAGAGGGGGGCTGCTTTCTCCCAACAGGAGGATCGCTGGCGTGGACATGTCCCTGGAGATCCTGATGGAGGATGTCACGTATTGTAGGGAGAATCGGTTGGCGCACAGCATCCTTGGCCGGCGGCGCAACAGTGGAAGCCGATCGTCTCCTGATGGTGGATGTTTGGCCGATCAGGTCAGACCATGCAAAATCGAGGACACGGCCCTTGACCACTATGAGGCGCTCGAAGACACAGCCATCTGGCACAGAGCACTGCAAGCAGGACGCCGAGCCCTGCTCTACGTGACATCTACTGCCCGCCCGCATACAGGAGAGGCAGCGAGCATCTCCCACCAGCTCTGTGACTGTGGCCGGCCTGGAGATCTCGATGGTCGAATCGTCGTCTGAGCCCGCGTCAGGCTCTGCTGCTGCTGCCAGTGGAGTTGGAACGAACTTGTTATCGATTGAGGTTGGCATTAAGTGGGTTTCCGATATGATTACCGAGTTAGTTAGTATTTAGAATCCCCGTGTCAGATGCCAAAAGTACTTTGTAGGTCAGTCCTTTCGTGGGCGGTGGGTTTTCTAAAAACAAGGCGGACAAAAGTGTGGCACCCAGCCTGGATGCTGAATTGATTGGGCTGCGTCTTTTTGGGGGCCGAAATTAGGTACCCAACTTGCCACAGGCACTTCACTGGCGTGACTGGGCGTCGTGGGCATCTGGTTGCCTGTCGCCAACACTTGTACCCGGAACTTCTACCTGTTACTCGGTGCTTCTGCCTGTGACAAGGGGGTTTTTTTTTCTCGGGGTTTTTGATTGGTTGCCTTGCCGTGACAGCCTTGTCTAGCTTACTACTTTTAGGGGCATGTGATTCGCCGGACTTGGTCTACGGTAGTGCATTTGAGCTCGATATGTATGTATCAAGCCACACCACCATCTAGACATCTTTCCCCTTCTGATCCAGATATACACACGACGATACAGATCACCTAATGTAATCCCAGTAACCCGACCACCATTACCAGAGTCGAACTTCAAAAGATAACCAACCTCTAAAACTCTTGACAACTCACACACAATCAAAACGAACAACCATGCCCACCATGTCCGGCCGCGCCAGGCCGATTGAAAAGTTCGCCGCCGCCGCCGCAAAGTGTTCTGTCGAGGTATGTGTGTGTCCTCTCCCGTTTTTGTTTCGGAGATCCCCAGAGCATCGCATTTCGGCTGTCTTGTTCATGGTGGCTGACGCCGTCTCTTTTCAGGCTTCTGCGTACGGGAAATGTATCTTGGCCGATTACCAGTCGACGTACCAGGACATGTGTGCCAAGGAGTTTATGAGGTTGAAGGACTGTTATCTGGTAAGTCACCATTTTTCATCCTGGTGTGGGGGAACTGGGGACCCGTGAAGTCGGTTCGACGATACCTTTCGATGTTCAGGAGATAAGGAAAGAAAACCCTGGAGGTTCTCTCGAAAAGAGAGGGGGAGCGGTTTACTTCTCGCCTCTGTATTGAATGATTCAACACGACCCGGCCCCTTTCTCCTTCTGAGGTACTCGACTGGGGCGAAAAGGCAGAGATGGACAAGTCACGAGTGGTTTACACCATCCTCTCGTCGAAGATTTTGCTATCTATTGCTTCCTGTGGCAAAACATCTAGCTAATTCTTTTCTTCATCTGCGCAGAGACACGCAAAGAAGTCATGACATGCTCGCTCTATGTTTTACACTTTTTCTCTCTCTTTCGGACGCTCTTGAGCAAATCCACAACACACACCCCTTTTCACCGACTCCGTCGTTCTACAAGAGATGTCATAACAACGTCATCTTCATGCTCATGCTCGTGATGCCACTAAGTAAAAAGCCTCTTGCTCAGAGCTTCAACAACCTCAACAGAAACGTCGCCTTTTGTACCTCCTGCACCTCTTCCACAATCAAATCGGCACCGCCTTTATCGCCATTCACAATTGGTCCCTCGACCTCCGTGACAACGTGATGATCAACGGGCCGTCTCAGCGCCTTTTCAATAAAGGAGCTTTGTTGCTGGAACACTTGCTCGAGCCCGATATTGTCCGGGTCTTGCTGGACTTTGTATTCCATCTTGACATCATCTGTCGGTTTCAGGTTTGCTTTCTTTCGGAGTTGCTGGACTCGGTTGATGATCTCCCTGGCGAGACCTTCCTGTGCCAATTCCGGGTATATAGCCACATCTAGAATGGTCAGAACGTCGTTATCAGTGTTCGTCTCTTGATTCTTTGAAGTCTCGTCTTCCTTGAGCGCCCGTCGGACCACCAAATCGCCTTCAACCAATTCTATCCCAGCCACCGTCAATTTCCCCTCTGACAGATACGTCTTGCAGTCAGTGCTGGTGACATCTGGAAGAGCCTTCTTGACTTTTTGCATGTCTTTCTTCAATTTCTTGCCAAGGACTGGCCAGTCCGCCGTTACGCTGTACTGTACATTATATTTGTCTTCGTCTGACGACAGGACGAGATCGCGCACGTTGAGTTCTTCTGTAATATACCCTTCAAGCGACTTGACGTCGTCAAGGTACTGCTGGTCTTTGTGAATGACTACTAGCGTCTTCAATGGCGTCTTCAGACCGATAGTTCTTCTTTCTCTGGACTGTCTGGCTAGTTCAATGACCTTTTGCATCCGTCCCACTCGTCGTTCCACGACTGGATCGAACAACTCCTGTCGAACTTCGGGGAAAGAGAGGAAGTGAACGCTGCGCATGTCTTGGCTGTGGAGGGATTTCGGTATATAAGGCAGGAGTTTAGTGTAGATGAGATCGGCGATGAATGGTGTGAAGGGTGCGAGTCCGCGGACGAGGGTGAAGAGGACATCAAACAGAGTGTTCAAGGCATGCAGCGTGTCATCCACACCCAGCTCGCCCTTTAATCTTTTTCGGTTGAATCGGATGTACCAGTTTGTGGTCTCATCGATCAGGTTGAGCAGCCCCGGCACGACCGTGTAGAGTCGGTATGCCGCCATTTCCTCGTTTATATATTTCAGCAAGCTTTGACAGCTGGCGAGAATCCATTTGTCCATGACGTTGGTGTTGGTGGTGTCCATTTCCGGCCTGAACTCGTAGTCAATGCCCTCAATCTTTTTGAGTAGCTCTACTTGACCTTCAAAGAATTTGTAACTGTTCCACAGAGGCAGAAGAACTTTTGCAACAATCTCCTTGACACCGGATTCCTTGAATCTCAGCGGCTCGGCTCGTACGACGGGTGAGTTGATCATGTACAGTCGCAGGGCATCTGCACCGTACTTGTCAATGACTGTGTTGGGGTCTGGGTAGTTTTTGAGTCTTTTGGACATTTTCTTGCCATCTTCCGCAAGCACAATACCGTTGACCACACAGTTCTTGAAGGGCAGTACTTTCTTCAAGTGGATGCCCAAGACGACAAGGGTATAGAACCATCCACGCGTCTGGTCGAGACCTTCGGCAATGAAATCACCCGGGAATGTCTTCTCAAAGTATTCTGAGTTTTCGAAGGGATAGTGTGCCGAGGCATAGGGCATACTTCCAGACTCGAACCAACAGTCAAACACCTCTTCAACGCGGCGCAGAACACCATTGCCTTTCTGGCTGGGAATTGTAATCTCGTCCACACTGTCACGGTGAAGGTCTGTGATCTCGCCCTCGTAGCCACTGAGCTTCTTCAGCTCTTCTATGCTGCCGACAGCAACAATTTCCGAGTAGTCCTCGTTCGCCCACAGCGGAATAGGGGTTCCCCAATATCGGTTTCTCGAGATATTCCAGTCACGAGCGTTCTTGATCCACTCCGCAAATCGTTTCTCTTTCACAAAATTCGGGACCCAGTGCGATTTTGCAATTCCGTCGAGCATATCTGGAATGATGCTTGGCACCTTGTCATTCCCAGCAATATTGACAAACCAGCCGGACACAGCACGGTAGATCAAGGGTGTGTCTGACCGCCAACAGAAGGGATATTGATGGGTTAGTTGGCTGTCACGGATGAGGCGCCCAGTAGCCTTCAGATGTTTGATGATGTGCTTGTCTGCTTCCTTCACATGCTGACCCGCAAAGTCTGTGACCTCTTTTGTAAAGCGTCCTGTCTCGTCCACGGGGTTGGGAGGGAGGTGGTCGTGGCTGATGATGCCATTTTCCATGGCCACCCGAAAATCTTCTTCACCAAACGCGGGTGCTTGGTGGACGACACCGGTACCATCGTCATCCGTGACATAAGCAGCATTGAGCACTCTGAAAGCACGATCCTTGTATGCCTCATAGAAGTAGTCGAAGGGTGGTGAGTATTGCTTGTCCTTGAGGTCTGAACCCTTGATCTTCTCGAGCACCTTGAACTTGGCTTTCTTCGGGTCTTTATATAGTGTTCCCAACAATTTTTCAAGCATGATGTACTTGCGACCGGAGTCTTGGTCCACAAACTTGATGTACTCAAAATTGGGATTGACGGCCAAGCCGATGTTCGACGGTAAGGTCCAGGGCGTAGTTGTCCAAGCAAGAAGGCTAGTCTCAGGATCCTCAAGGAGCGGAAAGGCGATGACCACTGCAGGGTCTTGTGCCTCCTTGTAGTTGGATTGAGCTTCGTGCTGACTTAGCGGTGTGCTCAGTGCGGTTGAGAAGGGCATGACTCTGTAGGAGCGATACACCATGCCCTTGTCGAACAGCTGCTTGAAGACCCACCATACCGACTCCATGAAGGTGGGATTCATGGTCTTGTAGTCGTTGTCAAAGTCAATCCACCGTCCCAACCGGTCAATCGTCTCTCTCCACTCGGCTGCATATCGCATGACAATAGCCTTGCACTCCGCATTGTATTTTGCAATTCCCATCTCTTTCACTGCCGCTGGTCCTGAGATGTTGAATTTCTTGTCAATCTCATACTCGATTGGCAAGCCATGGGTGTCCCAGCCGAACCTCCTCTCGACATAGTAGCCCTTCATCGACCAATATCTCGGAATAATATCTTTTATGGTAGAAGCCAGCAAGTGGCCATAGTGAGGCAAGCCGGTCGCAAATGGCGGGCCATCGTAAAAGGTGTAGGGCTTGTTGTCTTTGGAGAGGCGCAGTTGGGTCTGGAAGGCGTCAATCTCGCGCCAGCGTTTGAGAGTCGCGGCCTCTTCGGCAGAAAAGTCGACTGCCATGTTTGAAGGGCTGGATCTCGGTACAAATTGTTGGGAGCTCTCTGAGAATGAGAAGTGCTCTTAAGAGGCTGAGTGACTCAATATTTGATACAAATCTTGGCGGCGACATGCAACGCACCTGCGCTGCTTTTAACCGCCGATTGACTCACCAAACTCTCTCTCTCTCTTTTTGAGGACACTATCCTGCTACAAGTCTGGTTTAGGTAGGTTCAACAAGAACCCAGATAGTCCTTCGTGTAGCATTCGGTGGTACTTGGGCACTTTAGGGTGCTAAGTTATCTCTGAAATCGCTGGTGAACATGCGCTATTGTCTTCACACTTCAAATTCACTAATGCGGCATGCCTCCA